GTACATATCATCATAATGTCAAATCATGAACACAATTTTTTTTTAAAATGATCCATTAATTTCATTATGACAATCTAATCCTAAATTTTCCGGCAAGTATGAAACCTTCCAAGTAGATTGGGGGAGGGTTTTGAGTCTGGTATGTAAGAGTGTATCATCTACTTTTTATAAGGTTGAGGAATGTGTCCTTATAAACCTAAAGATTCATAGACAAGACTCTTTCCACAATCTGAATCCGATATACATTGACAGAGGTAGCTTTATTATAACCACTAGAATCATTTCACATGCCAAGGTGGTAGATCATAGTTTTTAGATTGTGAGTTTCACTACATCAAAGTGCTTGAAAAGAACTTCAAACGAGTATATGCAATTTTCATCATATAAAAAAATCATAAACCATAAAATATGTTTCTAGAAATACAAATTAATTTTCTATTATCACAGTTTTGATTGTTCCATCCGCGATAGGGTTGGTGTAGCTCCAGTGACGGACAAAATTAGAGAAAGTTATTTTAGATGGTTGGTCACATTAAGCGTTGATCATTTGATGATCTGATTAGAAGCGTAGATGTTTTAGAATCGACTTATGTTAAGAAAGGCAGAGGTAGACCTAGGAAGACTTTGGTAGGAAGTTATTGTATTAAAAATGATCTTAATTTATTAGAACTAAATGAAAATATGATACTAAATAAGACACAATGGAGAAAAAGGATTCATGTAGCCGACCCCACGTAGTGGGCTTAAGGCTTTGTTGTTGTTGTTGTTGTTGTACAGGTTTGATTGTTCCATCAAAGTAAAACAATTTTAACTTTGTCTCTATCTTGAAGGGTAGATCATCTTCTTCTCTTCATTTTGTGTTTGTCTCGACTTCTCTCAAGATCCTCGTTATTCTATCTTAGCATCAAGAGTTGAAAGGCAGCCCTCGTGGCCATGTGTTATTTGCGACCATATAATTAGCCATATGCTTGGCAATCTATTCATTCATATTTAAAAGACTATCGATTGTTTATAAATACTCAAAGTCGCATATCTCAAGCTCCTTGGAATTACCAAAAGTAACCTTCTCACTCTTTAATTTATCCATGAATAACTTTTCCTAGGGTGGAATTACCGTTCTAATGCCAAAGCATGAATTTTAATTGGAGTGTATAAAGTATTGAGACAAAAATATTAGAATTTCCTTAGGAGAATTTACAGGATGATGGACTTCCCCAGCTTATTTGCTTCAAATAATCAATGAATTGATTGTTTTGGGTCACAAAGAGAAAAGAACTAAAACTGGAATGACAATCCGTGGCTGGACGGAGAGATTGGTGACTAGGTGAGTTATTGGATGATCTCCACCTTTAGGAGGAGAAAAGTCTAACGGCTGGCATGGGAAATTCAATGATTGAAAGCATAGGAGTCAATGAACAAAGCAAGAAAGAGAGAAAAAAAGAGTAGAGAAATTTTAACAGATTAGAATTCAAATTAAATTCAGGTAAAATTTAATTTTAGATTATAAACTTGATCTCTGTTAATAGAATAAAAAAAAAAAACATTTAGAATTTTATTCAAATTTAAAGATAACTAGAAGATATAAACTCAGAAAGTAGCAAACTAACTAACAAATTATCTTCTCCAGAAGTAGTCACCACTTAATTAAGAGGAGAAAATAGTGGCGAAAATATTAGACTAACGGTTTCCTCATCTTTACCTCTTAAATCTTTTCCTCATCCTTCCTTAGCAGCCCCATTAATTCCCAGGAATTTTAAATTACTATTTTGTAAATAAGTTCCTCCTTATTAGTTGTTTGCAATTTTATCCTTTCAAGGTTCATTTCTACGAATATTTTTTAAAACCTCGCAAATCATCAACACCTCATGCATCACTCATAAAGACGACTCGAAAGAGTTACGATCAGGCTAATGATGACAAAAATTTCATCCCCAACATGAATCTTCTTAGCAATCTAACTAAAACCTACAAGTTTTGAGTGATGAGCAAAAATTATCTTCTCTACCTCATGTGTTACATGCGTCTATTAATTTCTTCCTAAATTCAACTCAAGGAGCACTAGGATTGCCTACGGTTATAATGTCTTCATTAACTATTAGCTTAATAGAAATTACCATATTACTAACCAAATTCACTGAAAAAGACCTCTTTTAACTCTCCATCCACTGCTATTGTTACTTCACACTTAATATTGGCCTTAACAAAATAAATAATCTTCTTTAATTCTTTGATTTTTTTTTCTCCCATCCACCTAATTTCTTCACCTTCTAGTTCACAAAAAAAAAAAAAAAAAAAAAAAAAAGTCAAATTTTAGAACTTACTAAACCCACGTTTAATTTCACAACAATTGCATTTGATTGTGGTGCAGCTAATGGGTGGGTGAAAAAATGGCATTTTCTTGTTCCTATATAATGGCATTTTTTATAAATCTGAGATCCCAAAAGACCCAAAAAAAAACTGATAATTTGCATAGAAATATTTAGATACATCTGCATATTTGGACAAATAGTAGAATATTTATGCTGAAAAATACAATTTTGAACACTGCAACTATCAAACTGAACCAGATTTAGAGGAAGAAAAGGAGCAATATAATTTTCTTCAGAAATACGGACATGACAAGCAGCCTACAGTCAATTATGACACAAATTTAGACATCCTTCGAAGCTCGCACACTAACTTATTTCGCATATGTATACAATTAACTCGAAGGTTGTCTCACATGAGTATATTACAAATTAGTAAGCAGCATACTAGCATGCATGTCAAAGTATAGACAAATAATTGACTTGAGAGTATTTACTGAACCATATTGATAATTGTTAACAATTATCACAAAGGTACAGTGAGCTAGGCCAATGGCACCCTATCAGCTTATAAAAAGGACTTTAGTCAGATTTTGCAATTCTCCCACATTACATGCACCAAAATACAATCAACTAAACAATCTTTGTAACAAGTAAACTTAGGATGATATAATTGTGCATAAAAACTTTTATGTATTTTAAAAAGTTAAATCAAGATATCCCTAAGTAAAAAGTCCATAAAAACTTGCTATGTTGATACTATCTAGGAAGTTATGGACATAAAGAATACATTTCATAAAAAGGAATATACAAATTTAAAGATGAGTTCTTAAGGGTTCAATACTCATTTCTCCAACATGACTTAATATACTTAGCTTTCATATCTAGACAATGAACTTGCATCAATTCACCATTTATGTTATCATAAAATCATTCTTAATTTTGTTGAAAACGTTTGTTATGATAATTTTTAACATGAAATTATATAAAGGCGTGGAATAGAAGGGGTGCATTTGCCATGAAAGTTCAGTGTTTGTTTGGCAGTCAAGTGGCTGTGAAAAGGTGAAATAACCGGTTATTTAAAACTATTTTAGGATTTAAATATTTTAGTTCAAATATATAACTTTAATATTAATTAATGATGACTAAATTATTTAAAACTATTTAATTTTAATTTGTAATTATTTCTAATTTTATTAATCACTAACTAGTTGTTTATTAAACTAAGTAATCATTATTTAGAATTTCACTAAAATAAATACTCATTAATCAATATGTTGATATTCATTAATTAATTTTACTAATCATTTAAAATTTAATTAAAACAATTAATTTGCAATAAACATTTTAATAGTCACTAATTAATAATCTAAACTTACGGCCCAAAGTGAAAGAGTGGAAGTTTCAAATCTCCAAGTCTCTTCAAAACTGAAATTTTTTTATTTGATACTCAATATTTATTATAAATTTAGATTAAAAAAGGAAGGGGAAAATTTAGGTTAGGTGGAAGCTGCAATCCAAAGTTTGTTTATGTTTTACTTTTTCTAGTAATTTTTATGGCCAATTTATATTTTTTTTATTGGATAATGCTGACCAATCTTTCATTAGCCTTCCATACCAACCAAAACACTCTTCTAATTGCCTATTCAGTCTAGTTCGTGAACTCTCCGGGAAGTCTGAATATCCATCCTTATCTGCATACCCACTGCCTACCTATTTTTTCTTGCTTCTGTATTGCAGTCCAGCCACTTCCAGCAAACGGTAGTGCCGCCAAAGTTTAGCTAGTACCTCTTTTCCCAAATGTTTCTCATCCTACACAAATCTAAATCATTCCTTGATTCTCCCACACCGTTTAGACTCTAGATCGATGTCACTCCTAGATTTAGTAAATCCATATTTACTTTGAAACAAAGTTGGAATCAGATTTAAAAATTGGGTGGATTTAATTTGACCAAAGTAACCGATTGGCAGAATTCAAGGTTAAATCCTACTTAAATCTTATCAAATCCACTACCAAACAACACCTTGGGGGTTCTTTGGCAACTTCTGGGATTTAACTTAAGTGGATTTAGTGAACCTTATAAATCCAAATTCAGTAAATCGTGGGGTGGCTAAATCCCCCTTAAATCCATTGCCAAACAGCCACTTAGTTCTTTTTCCTTTTCTTTGCATACAACAAAACAAGCCCAGACAAACCATAATCACAGCAATAATATCATATTGCAGCTTCTAAATCCAAATAGTGCATTCATGGTGTTCATGTGCAAACTGCACACTCTCTGAAACGGATATTTTATAGCTCAGAAGCGTCTCGTACTGTAATTAACTACAATGCATGAAACTATGCAATCCTAAATGAGAAAAATAAAGTCTCTTCAATCCCTGTCAAGGAATTAAGATCAACCAATTAAGCTCCAAACACAAAAACTAACCACAAACCGCACAATTTCTCAAGCAAGCAGGAAACAGGCTAACAAGAACATAGATATCACTTCTGCATAAGAATGAAACAACTAAAATCTATTTGGAAATCCAAAAAAAGGTTCCTAAAACCATAAAACAACTCATTTTCATAACATGCGCTCGTGTTTCTTATAACAGGCATCTCTCTCAAAGTGGAAAGTTCAATAAGTTGAATTTTGAACACAAAAGTATGAACAAATAAACCATTTTATCATGGCATAAAGGCCAAACCTGAGTGGCCCCTCCAGTCCATCATCACCGTCGTTCCGAACCTCGGGATCCTGCTCCTGCCCCTGAGCGTTGTCACCGTAGTCCAGTTCACCGGAAGCAACCGGCGGGTGCATCCCAGCTTCTACCAACTTCACCACCAGCTATGTGGTTGAGAAGTACTGCCTCCGATGTTCAAATAGAAAGTAAGAAATCCGACTCTCGCCCAAACAAAAATTACTACGACAATTGTGCGTCATCGCAGATTTTGAATCTCTACAACCATTTCATCAATTCTAGGGCTCAAGAAATACGGGTAATGTCGACAACGAAGGCTTTGGTTCAGATTCTAGCGAATGGAAAAATCCTCTGAGACGAGTTGAAGCGATAGCAGAATAGCCAGTGTCTGAAAGTTTTCTTCTTTTACTGGTGAAGAAACCCCGTAGATTCGTATTAGGGTTTTTGCACAAGGAGACGGAGCTGGAGGAAGGAAGCGGGCGGAGATGAAGCGATGAACGGATCAGCTGTGAGGCTCCTATTACCAAAAACAGGCTACCAAATCCCAGTTGCGTGACACGAAACTCTAAGTGAATTTGTATTTTTTGGGGAATAATTTTTATAGCCGGAAAATTAAATATTTCAACTTTTTTCTTAAATATAGGAAAAGTTTAATACATTTGATATCTAATATATATATATATATAAGGATAAAAAGACTAATAATAATATCTAATGTTTGAATATGATATAAATAAATATTAAATTTTAAATATATCAATATTAAAATTTAAAACTTAGATATATATAATTAAATATAAATTATTAAATTGTGTGACATGCATGTAAACCCTCTAAAGGGCACGATGGTTCAAATCACATTACAAATGATTATTTTTATTAAAATGGGGATTAAATTCACTAAAAGTTGTGCTTTTAAATTAGAATTTGCACCTCTCAATGTAAAGCAAAATTAACGGTCTTTTAACAAATTTTATAAAAAATTAAATCAAAAGACCAAGATGAACACCTATGAGTAGCAAATGACGAGTGAGTTATGACATGGGTACAAAAGAATACGGGTAAATCGTAGATGACTTGTATTAAAAAAAATTTCTTAAGTATTATTTACAAATTTTGTAAGTATTTTTATATAAACAAATACTCAAAAAAAAAAAGCTATCGTAGAGCTCTATAATAAACTACATCGACATCTAGTGGACCAACAAAGGATAGATGTCAAGTTACGAATAGCTTATCTAAACAATAACAATAACAACGTAGCCTTTCTCCCACTAAGTGGAATTGACTACATGAATCATTTTTCTCCATTTGGTCATATTGAGTGTCATATTTTCATTTAATTCTAATAGATTATGATAATTTTTTTATACAACATGCCCGAGTCTTTTTTGTTTACCTTTACCTTTCTTACCAAAAGTCAAATCAAAACATATACTCTCCTAATGTGATCGCCAAATGATTAACGTTTAAGTTCATCAAACCATCTAAGACGACTCTCTCTACCTTTGTAAGCAACACAATATGTTTCATGTATATATTTGTTTCACATTTTATAAGTGTTAAGTCACTCATCCACTTAAGCAGTTTCCTCTCCACAACACTTAATTTTATACTTCTCTTTTATGGGCCAACATTCTACACCATAAAACATTACAAGTCTCACCACAATCTTATAAGATTTTCCTTTTTAAGTATAAACGATACTTCTCTGTTACACAATAGGCTCGATGCATTCCTCAATTTCAACTATCCAACTTAAATTTTACTAATAACACCCCCATCTATATCACAATCATATTGATTAATTGACGTGAGATATCTAAAACATTTACTCACCCATTGTTACAACCGCACTATTAGATTTACTACTACTAAAATTACATTCCCATGTATACAGTTTTAGATCTACTCAAACAAAAGTCTTTAGACTCTAAGGTCCACCTCTATAATTCAAGTTTTTCCTGAACTCTTTCTCTAGCCTTATCCGTCAGAAGGATGTCATCACCAAAAACATACATCGAGGTACATCCTCTTGTAAATGTCTTTTAAGAACATCCATAACTAAAGCAAAAAGATGTGGGCATAAAGATGATTTGTGATGTAATCCAATTCTAATTGGAAAATACTTGGTCAATCCTTCTTCTGTTCGAACACAAGTAACAACTCTAACATAACTTTATTGACTTGAATAAGTCATAACAACACCTATTTTTTCTATAACTTCTCAAAGTATTTCTCTTGATAACTTATCATAAGTTTTTTTTCTAAATCAACAAAAATCATATGTCGATCCTCCTTACACTCTATGCAATTCTTCATCAAACCTCTCAATTAATATATAGCTTTCATAGTTGACTTGCCTGACATAAATCCAAACTGATTTTGAGAAACCTTCGTACACATCTTAACCTATGTTCAAATGCTCTCACCCATAGTTTTAATGTATGATACATTAACATAATTTCTCCATAATTTGAACACTCTTGTACATCCCATTCATTCTTAAAAAATATGGATCAAAATATTATTCTTTCACTCCTCAGGCATTTGTTCAATTTTTAAAATGACTTTAATAAGTTTTGTAAGCCAAGAATTTCCTAAATCCCTTAAATATTTTCACACTTCTATTTGTGACAAAAATAAAAAAAATTCCTATTATTAACTATAATAAGATCATTAAAATTAACCAGATTTTTAGAATCTTCATTAAACAATCTTCTAAACATCTCACCCACCTATGTTGAATATTGTCATCTAAGAAAATCACTTTTTGATTTGTGTCATTAATGCACTTGAACTAAATCTTTATTTTTATTGTCTCTTTGCTTAGCTAGTTTATAAATATATCTTTCACCCTTTTTAGTATTTATTTTTTTATTAAGATCAATAAAAACAAAATTATTAGCATCACTAATTGTTCTATTAGATAAGATATGAAACATTTTTTTACAAACAATTGTGTTACTTCTTTAGACTTTTATAATTTTCTTAACATCTTTCCTTAAATCATTCTCCCGACTAATAAAGGAGGATGCCTCATCATCAATAATATCAATGGCAAAGGTCCATGAGCATCCAAGTCTTATTTTTATTATTGACTAGCATCACATATATGTAAGATTAGAAATTCAAGCAAAAACATATGGCCTTTAAAACTCATGATTCCTTATGGCATGTCAATTCTCTTGAACAATGTTATATTATCTCCGCCTCATGCAAATCTTTGGAAAGCATATTGAGTTGTGTAACCTAGAAATTTGTTCTGAATGAAAAAAAAAAAATTCAAATAAAGCTTATTTTTTTTCTGAGTGGTGATGTTTCATATAGCAACAATGTCTCATAATTATACACACTCAGATGAAGCAATCAAGAAAACTCTCAATTAAAAAGCTTGACTTGTGTTAAAATCTAAATGAATTATAAGGATATTCATGATATGCTCACCTATTCATTTTTATTTATTAATTATTATTATAGAACTCCATACTTAGATCATTGACTCTAGCTAATACTATTGGGCTATCTTATGGTATAGTGCCTCTTGAATCTACCATTAATAATAAAAAATGCTCCCTATAACTTTAGCAACCAACCATTAGTTTTTCTTTTTATATGTGTCCTAATTATCATAGATTTTAGAATTATAGTCGTTTTGAATGCTAAAGAAGAGTGAGATTCAAATGCATTTATTTTTGGGGCATGAACATACATGCCCCACTTCTTATGTTTTAACATATCTAACACCTAAACTCTCGTATTTACGTACATAACACTCGAAATTTTAAAATGACATCAAAATACCACAATTATTAATTTTCTTAAAAGTGGAATACACATTTTCATGCATAATTTTATGACAGCAAAATACTCGAAGTGTAAATATCAAACTTTAAATATTAGATATGTAAACACATAAGAATTATGTGGTATCTATGTAAATTTTTTTATCAAATTGACTTCACCTAGCAACTCTGTTAGTAACTATGTAGGTTTTCAGCTAGAAGTGCTTGGATTGAAGGCCTTATAAATGAGTTGTGTTCGCCATTAAATTCGTTAAAGAGGAATAACATGTGTTAATAAATATTTTAAACATTTTTTATTTGTTTTCTCACTGGCTAACAACACATTTGGGGCAGCCTATTTGACGCGGTGCGTTCTGAAAATGTTGGAAGAGGCGTTTGGAAATCGGGGTGTGGTAGTGTTGCTTAAAAAGTTATGTTAAACTGGTGCTCCCCTCTCACCGTTACCCTCTCTCGTGTTTCTTACACTAGGTCACGTCTCTCTCGATCGTTCCTCTCTATCGCCTCTCTCTGGTGGCACTGGTTTGCCTTTCTTTTTTCCCTCGTCCCTCTGATCTCTGGTAGCAACAGGTCGCCTCACTCATCTCCCTCTTCTTTCCGATCTCCGTCTCTCTCCCCCCGCCCCCCACCCCCCAACAATTCGCTTTCCCTAAACAACATTACTATATAGAGTCAGAATGATTATTTGTCTAGAAATAAATATAACACAACTGTTTTCAAACTGTAAAAAACAAACAGACAGTCAGCATATCCGCCACAACTTATGTCTAGCAGCTTATTATTAAGCTGTTGCAGCCCCAAATAAACCCTAAGTTTTCTTTTGTTATATCCTCTCTCCCCCTTCTAATGCCTTAATTAGTTTTGGATTGGGCCATACATAGCAATCTATACATGCCTCATTAAATTTTTTTTTTTTTTTTGGTAGCTTAAATGATGCTCAACATAAGTCTCATAAAATTAAATTTTTTTTTTTTTACTTTATTTTATTTTTCCTAAGTAAATGAAGGAATTGAAATATAGGAAATGAGAAGAAATTAGAAAAAAAAAAAAAAAGATGTAATTTTCACCCACTTGCTTGTTTAAAGAGAAATGAAGAAAAAAATATTTATTTAAATATAATTTTATTTTTTTCCCATGTGAAGAAGAAGAGTTACAGACGTAACCTTATATATGCCAATTAAATTATATTGGTAGCTTTCTTATAAGCTATTCTACATAACATAAATCTTTGTTTTTTTTTTTAGAAAAACTGAATAAAGTTCTTGATGAAGAACAAATTTTATTGAAATTTTTTTTAAAAACTTTTATCATTTTTAACTAGCTAATTAATATCCTAAATCTTCTTTCTGTGCGTACTTATAAATAAAAAGTTAATTACATACCAACACTCGAAATGTTATTATTTATAAAATTAGCATCAAGTTGGTTTTTTCGAACAAACTAACTGGTGTATTTAAGCATGTCATGATCAAATCATTAAAAATTTAATAAAATAATGAAAACATGGGTTAGATTTTTACCTTGAACTTTGTTATTCGAGTGAGAATTTGAAAAATAGACGAAAGTGTCAGTTAAGTTTACGAAAAATAATATTTTGAGTGTTTTGTAATAATCAGAGCGCAGTCAGACCTCAAGGAAGTGGCACAAAAGATACTCTGATGTTCCCCATTTAACTTTGAAAGCCATTTGCTCTACATTACCAAATAGCCTTTCAATGCTTACTCTTTCTTGTAGAAAGAAAATAAAACAGTCTTTCT